AGGTGCACAGACATGTTCTTGTGGAGCTTCTTAAGGTGACTGTATTTTGGCAGCAGTGGAGACAGTCCAAGTGGATGTCTGCGGTCCTCCGCATCCTCGCCTGGCCACTCACCACCCAGGAGCCGACCGTGGAGGAAGACGCCACCAGTGAAGGGGCAGTTCCTGTCCATGCAGGCGCCCTCGATGGTCTCCTTGGGCATCTTGAAGCCTGGACCAAAGGAGTACCCAGAGTTTCTCCTTGCAGCTTTCTCCCAGCAGAACCCGATTCTTGTGTTTGAAAGACTGCAGTTGCTTCGGGGAAGCACGCTCACTCTCAATGTCTGCCATCTTTCCAGCAGCCTGAGGAAAGAACGGAGATAGTGCCCCTACTGCAGCCATGGACCCAAGCGCTGTGGGAGAGCAGTGGCGAGGTGCCAGAATTCCCACAGCGTCTCGGTCATCCCGCCAGAGCCTCAAAGCCCCACCTCCGCCGAGGAAAGGACAGGTACCTAACCACCCTTCCCCTGTTCAATCTAAGTCTTCATCTCCACCTAGCACATTTCTGGAGCTGAAAGTACCGGAACGAAAGCTGTCCCCAACGACAGCATGTTGTAAGTTGCTGTCTATGAGACTATTTCTTCTTCTCCATTTGAAAAACATAAGTTCTGCCATGTAAACACTTTAAAGAATACATCTAAGCCCGGCATGGTGCCCCTTTAATCCCGGCACTTGGGAGACAGAGACAGGTGGATCTCTGTGGGTTTGAGGCCAGCCTGGTCTACAGAACTACTTCCAGGATAGCCAGACCTACACACACACACACACACACACACACACACACACACACACACACACCTGTCTTGAAAAACAAAAACAAAGCAAAACACATATGTGTGAGATATACACACGTATTTACACACACACGCATATTTGGGCTGGAGAGATGGTTAAGAGTGCTTGCTGCAGCTAGGTGGTGCTGGCATGGGTCTTTAATCCCAGCACTCGGGAGGCAGAGGCAGGCGGATCTGTGAGTTCGAGGCCAGCCTGGTCTAGAGAGTGAGTCCAGGACAGCCAGGGCTACACAGAGAAACTCTATCATGAAACAAACAAACAAACAAAAACAGTGCTTGTTACTCTTCCAGGGGACCAGGGTTTGATTCCAGACATCCACATGGTGGCTCACAGCCATCTCTAGTTCCAGTTCCAAGGGACCTGACGCTCTCTTCTGGCCTTGGAGTCACCAGGCATGCACTTGATGACACATACATGCAGGCTTAATCAAACATCTGTAACACCTATATGCCTAAATACATAAATATACAATTATATATCTGTATCTGTACAGATCTGCATTTCAGACTATGGAGCCTGTTCCTCCTGAGTTTTCTGGCTTTGAGCCTGGGCCAATCTGTCTTCCTGTCTCCAGCCACACCCCTCCAGCAGGTCTGGCACTCCTTGGAGACTTGCTGTACCCAGCTGTTTCTCTCTGTGTACCCAGTTGTTAGGTAGGGGTGATTGCACCTCTTAGCAGAGCTAATCTGAGGAGACAGTCCGAGGGCACCTCAGGGCAGCCTTGCTATAGCCACCTCTGATGCAGTCACAGCTTGACAAGCCAGGACATCCTTAGCCAGTCACAGGACAGCTGGCCCACAAACCCAGGCTGTGACCCAGCCAGCCCGACTCTCTAGCCCCTGTCATGGGCATGTAGGGTCAACAACTGGCAAAGAGATCTCTTACACAAAGTGAGAGTGTTTAGGGTCTCAAAGTGGACCTGAACCGAACAGCCCTGGCTGTGAGTGGAAGGCTAGGAAGGTGGGTCGGAACTCTGACTGACAGGCTCAGACTGGTACTGCCAGCTGGGCCAGAATGATTCTTTCTGCCAGGACCTGCCCCGGCTTCATGCCTGCTCCAGGCTTGTTCCAAGGCCTGCCCAGGAGAGGAGCTAACATTATGGAGCAGTTGAGAGAGTGGGGGAGTTGATGGCGGCAAGAGACAGGGTGTGCCAGATATGTCCCTGGCTACTCCTTCCAGGACCCTGAAAAGGCACCGCTGTGGGTTTAGGAAACAATGTGGGTAGGTGTGTCCTGCTACAAGCCTGGGGCTCTGGGACCTTAGGTAAAACTGCTGGGTCCCTTGAAGTTGCACTGTCTCTCCCCCTTCCATTTTCTTGCCTGTGTGTGTGTGTGTGTGTGTGTGTGTGTGTGTGTGTGTGTGTGTGTGTGTGTTGTGCATTTGAGGGCACTTGTACATATGCACTGGTATGAATCCATGTAGCTGTAGTTGTGTGCATCTGAGAGGCCTGAGATTGAGGCTGAGTATCATTCTCAGTTGCTCTTCGTTGACACATAGCTTACTCACACCCAGAGCTCTGGATATGGCTGGTCTCTCTCTCTCCACCTTTCATGGGCAAACATTTATGTAGATTCTACAGCTTTGAATTTTGATCCTCATGCTTGCAAGTGTTTAATCACAGAGTCCCCACCCCTACCCCCTTCATCTTTTCTAAGAGCCTTGCTATGTTCCCCAGGCTATCCTTGAACTCAGAGTCATCCTGTCTTCACCTTCCAGGCACCGTGATTACAGCCTGCACCATCACACACAGCTCTTGCCTCTTCTTTTTGAGACAGAGTCTTGTATAGCTCAAGATGGCCTCAAACTCGATTTGTCGCTGAGGCTGGCATTGGATTCCCGAACCGCCTACCTGGGATGGCGGTGCCGATATTACGGACATGCACCATCACACCCACTGTGTGTGATTCTGAGGCTGCAACCCAGGGTTCCACAGACCCTTGGCAGGCACTCAGCCGACTGACCTACATAGTTGACCTAGTTTGGCTTTCCTCTTAGTATTTTTTGTTCATTTACTTTGTGTGCTCTACGGATACCTGTGCGTACGTGCCTTGGTGGGCCTGTGAAGGTCAGAAGACAGCTTTTGGGAGTGTGTGGGATTGAGGGGATTGAATTCAGGCTCAGGCTCAGCAGCGAGTGCCTTTATCTGCTAAACCCTCTTGCTAGACTTGGTTGGGCTTTTCTGTGACAGTTCTTACTATGTAGCTCAGGCTAGCTCGGAGTACTACATCCTCCTGCCTCTGACTCCTGAGTATTAGGATTACACACCTGTACGGACACACCTGGCTGCATTGCATCCCTGTAATTATTTTGTTTTTCAAAGACTTAAAAAAAATTCTATGTACCACTAGGCATGGTGGCACACCTGCGATCCCAGCACTCAGGGAGGCGAAGGCAGACAGATCTCTGTGAGTTCAAGGCCAGCCTAGTCCACAAAATCCAGGACAGCCAGGACTACACAGAGAAATCCCGTCATGAAAAACAGCAACAACAACAAATTCATGTATAGGTGTGTGTGCGTGTGTGTACATGAGTGTGTGGGTGCCTTCAGAGGCCAGAGGCAGAAATTTCCCTGGAGGCAGAGTTACAGGAGGTTGTAAGCCATCTGCTATGGGTGTTGAGAACTGAACTCAGGTCCTCTGAAAGTGCAGACCATGCTCTTATCCACTGAGCCACCAGTCCCAGTTTCTTAGACTCTGTGGCATTGGGCTCCCAAGCCCCCTAGGGTCCCTCAGGGCCCTCTCTGGGCTTCCTGGAGGATGATGGTGCAAAGCAAACAAGGGTGGCACTAAAGCTTGTGTAGTTGTTTTGACCTCAGCTTGTCAAGACAAGCTCCCCAGAGCAGGAAGATGCCGGGACACCGTCTTAACCGAGATGTAAACCCCAGTCCTCATTCTCTGCCCAGAGCTGAGAGAGAGCCCAGGTCCTGCTCTTCAGGCTCTGCAGATGTAGGATGTAGGGTTGACTAGGTCCACACCTCAGGAGGCTGCCTGGAATTGCCACACTTCCTGTACCTCCTCTATGGTCCGCCCCCTTTACACCTGGGCCCTGGAGGTTGTTACTCTAAAATTTTTTATTTGTTTATGTTGTTGTTGTTGTATTGACAGAGTCTCAAAACAGGCCATATAGCCAAGGCTGACTTCAAACTCCTGATCTTCCTGCCTATGTCTCCTAAGTACCAACTGAGGGTTTCCAGCACCAGATGCATAAAGTGAGGGCATGACCCATGACTGCAGGGCATGACTGAAGAGCCTTCGGGGCGGCGGGGGTAAATGAGGGAGTGTGCAGCCAGAGGCATCTGGAAGAATCCAGAGCGGAAAGAGAAAGTAGTAGGTTGAACATGGTCGGCTGACTGGACCTGCAGTAGGGGGTTGGCAAGAGAGGGAGACAAAGAGCGTGGGCGACGGAGACTTAGAGAGAAAAAAGAGGGTTAAGACGTGCATGGCAGAAATAGTAGAGTTATAAGGGCGTGAGGGCTGGGGGAGGGGAGCAAAGGAGCTGGGGAAGTTTAGGGTGGGCTTGGGGTGAGGAGAGCCGCTGGTAACCTGCACAGTGAGGAGGCCTCAAGGCTTGATATACTAATAGGGACCATAGTGAGGAAATTGCTTCTTGAATAGAACCCTGACAGAATATGGGGGAGAGGAGCTTTCTTTGGATCTGACAAATAGTAGGTCTGGCTGGCTTTTTATCATTTTACTTTTAAGATAGTTTTCTGTGTAGCCAAGGACAACCTTGAACTTCCTGACCCTCCTTCCTCTACTTGTGGAGTGCTGGGCTTATAGCAGTAAGCCGTTTCCAGTTTATTCCATGTGAGAGATCAAATTCAGTGTTTCATGCATGCCATACAACAATTCTGCCTTGTCTTCCTCCTTCCTACCCTCCCTCCCTCCTTTCTTTTGAGACAGAGTATGTGGCCCGGGCACTTCTAGAACCCGTTCTGTAGCCCAGGGTGGGCGAAAATTCATCATGCTCCTGTATCAGCTTCTGGGTGCTACAGGCAGGCATGCACCAGCCTGGTAAATTTTAATCTCCAGGTTATCACCCCTCCACCGCGCCCCGGAACCGGGAATGTTAGGCTGGACCTAGAAAGGGGCTGAGCCTGCAGTGAGCACTTAGCAAAGATCTAGCCCCCCGCCCCCCGTAAACGCTGGGGTCTGAGACGGAGGCGAGCAGGGGCTTCCAACTTTTATTTGAGAAAAAAAAAAAAAACAGAGAGTACATGTATCAAAAGAGCGTACAGACTGACAGAAAGGGTGGCGGGTGATGGCTATCGGGGGTGGGCAGCAAGCGGATGGCTTCTACTTGGCTCCAGACTGTTCCTTCCCAGCTTCGGAGCCCCCAATTTGGGCGCGCGCCTCGAAAGTGACCGGAATGGTAATCTCCGCTGATTGCGTAGCAGCTTTGGGCAAAGGAGCTTCCACGGTGAGTGTGCCCTCAGGGGACAGGGAAGAGGACACCAGGGTGGGGTCCACACCAGGAGGCAGCCTGGACACAGCAGGGAAACAGGACAAGGGTTACCTATCTCTCCTGACTCGAGGCCCTCTGCCCTCCTCCTTGGATCCGCTTCCCCCCACCCCTCCGTGCAAGCAGCCAGAACTTACGTGTATTTCCGAGTGAAGCACCGAGAAATGTAGCCATGTTCGTCCTGCCTTTCTTCGTGCTTGCCTGTGGGCGGGGACAGAAGGAGGTCAGACAGCCCCCTGCCGTCCGACTGGCCCCACCACCTGCTGAGGAGTGGCTGGGGCTCCGAGGAGGCGCACAAATCAGAGCGTGGTGGGATGCCGCACTTTCTGGACTCTTTAAACTTCCCAGGAAGTTCCCTTCTGGGATTTGAGATGCGAAGGGTCGCGGCGCTGGGCTTGCCTCTGACCCAGGCTGGACACCAGCGCAGGCGCACTCAGAGCTGTAAGCACGCCCCCTCCGCGGCCGGGTCTAGGGACCCAGGCTGGAGTCCTGTCACTTGCTTATTTGGGAATGAGGTCGTCCAGAAGGCGCGTTGGACCTTCCTTCGATTGTGTCCGTGCTGAGGGTGGAACCCAGGCCTCCCGCAGGCCAGGCCAGGGTCTACCCTAAGCCGCATCCCAGCTGTGGGTCCTTGTCACCGAGATGACAGGGCCCTTAGGAGCCACCTGCGCCCCGCGCTCTGGAGCAGAAAGAGCAGGCTCGGGATGAGGACGCGGGCCTGCCTGGCCCCTGAGCTCATTTCTAACCTCCCAGGCTCCCATCCCTCTTGGTTCCACCTCCCCCTCCCCCACCACCGCGGAATCCGCCCGCCAGCTCCGTCCGCTCGGTGGGCAAGGGGGACTCACCAGTGATCTCCACCACGCCTTCCTTGGTCTTGACCGTGAGCTCCTCGGGAGCGAAGTGGTTGACGTCCAGGGACACGCGCCAGCGGTCGGCCGTCTGCCGGATCTCCGAGACGCCGCTGCTGAGCTGCCGGGTGAGCGCGCGGCTGAAGGCGGGCGCGGCCAGGGCCACCGCGGGGCCCTCGGCGGCCGCGGCGGGCAGCGGGCGCACGTAGCCGGGCCACCCCGCGGAGCCGAACCACTGCGCCCACTCATCGGGCAGCCGCGGCACCCCGAAGGCTTGATCGAAGAGGCGGCTGTGGGCCGGGTACCAGTCCCGGAATGGATCCCAGCTGGGGCTCCGCAGCAGCGAGAAGGGAACGCGGCGCTCGGTCATGTTCTTGGCTGTGCTGGGCAGGGCTGAGGACCAAGAAGCTCTGGGCTGAGGATCCGAGAGGTGCCGAGCCGGAGCCCCGGCGGTGCTTTTATGGGTGTCCAGCCGGGTATTTTTAGCAGGCGGTGCCTCAGGTCTATTAATGGCAATGACCGTCTAGGGCCGCCCCTTCTCGCTGCATTCCTCCCCCTGAGCTTACAGAGGGGCCGGACAGGCGGGGCCGGGAAGGTTCTGCCCCCGTCTGGAAACTTCTCTAGATGAAGAAAACAAATGACTGTAAAACCGGGAGCTGGAGCGGCTCCCACTGTCCGGCCTTCACAGCCTGGAACGCTGCCGGCTGAGGGCGGTGGCCTACGGCCGGTCCCTTTTTGTTGTTGTTGAGAATAAACCAGAAGAGGTTAGAGCTTTAGTGTCGCAGCTAGGAAGCCTCTGAGCCTGGTGTGAACCAGAGAAAGGCCTCTGTGAGACCCCCTCAGGCCATGGCGCACCTGTGGAGGTCTTAGAACCACCAGCAAGACCAGCTCCTGTACGTGATTATCCTGGGGAGCAAAGGCTTGGTGGCCACGCCTGTGTCCACCGAACATCTTTCTGGCCCTGAAGCTTTTCTTTCTTTCTTTCTTTCTTTCTTTCTTTCTTTCTTTCTTTCTTTCTTTCTTTCTTTCTTTCTTTCTTTCTTTTCTTTTCTTTTCTTTTTTTTTTTAATGTGTATCAGTGTTTCGCCTGCATGTATGTCTGTGTGACAGTGTCAGTTCTTGGAGTTACAGTGAGTGTCAGATCTTGGCGTGCCATGTGGGTGTTGGGATTTGAACCCAGGTCCTATAGGAAGAGCAGTCAGTGCCCCTAACTGCCACCTAGCCATCTGTCCAGCCTGGAGACATTGAACCCTGAGCTTGCAAGCTAGCTGGGAAGCATCCCCCTAGTGCCCTCCTGTTTCTGCAACTGCCCCGCCCCTCCAGCCCAGAACTGGGATTAGAGACACAAACAGCAAGTCAGGTTTTTGGGGGTTTTTGTTTGTTTGCTTGTTTGTTTGTTTCTCCAAGTTGGAATTTCTCTTGTGTAGTCGTGGCTGTCCTGGAACTCACTCTGTAGACCTCAAACTCACAGTTCCGCCTGCCTTTCCCTCAGAGAGCCATCACACCTGGCCACACTCTGCTTTTATATGAATGCTGTGTGTCAGGGACAAAAGAAATGGTCGTCTGTGGTGCATATCAGCCTGCCAAAGCGTATGTAGGCCCTGGGGCTCACTGGGCATCGCAAATAACAGTCAGCTCTTCTCACCCCGCACCTACCCACAACCCCAGCTCTTGGCTTCCCTACCCAGCTTCTCATTCCCCTATATGTGCTCTCTCTCTCTCCCACCGCCTTCTCTCATCTTTCCCTTTTGGTCCTGTCTCTTGCCCCTCTCTCTTTCTTCTCCCCCCCATCTCTCTTTCCTCTCCTTTCCAGGCCCAACATACTGGCCGTATCTAGCCACTTTCTCTGTCTGCTCTGGACTCTTCCAGTGCCTCTGGCTGTTCTCTGCCTCGTGTCTATAATACCCCCCAACCATATCTCGGAGGAGCATCACATCCTCAGTTCATACACTATGGACCCAAACTCCGCCCCCATGCTGGCACAGCCCAGCTGTTATCCACTTCGGCATCTCCCAGCCCCTCGTTTTTGTTTTTATTTTATTTTATTTTATTTTATGTTATTTTTATTTTATTTTATTTCATTTATTTGAGACAGGGTTTCTCTTGTAGCCCTGGCTGTCCTGTTGACCAGCCTGCCCTTGAACTCACAGAGAACCGCCTGCCTCTGCCTCCCAATCTGCCTCCCAAATTCGTTTTTGTTTTTTGAGAGAGGGTCATATGTAGCCCAGCCAAGTCTGGAAGTCTCTGTGCAGCCAAGAATGACCTTAACTCCTGATCCTCTTATCCTGGGGTCATAGGCATCTGCCACCGCACACAACAGCCCTATGATATTAAACAGCCTGGTGGGCTCATTGGTAGCGTCTGCTCCCAGCCACCAAACTGCTGGTGTTTTACTGGTGGGGGAGCCTGTAACGAATTTTCTGTCCTTTTCTCTGTCTCTCTGCAATGAGAGGCTGACAAGGATCCTAATAATGCTGACGTCATTGGGCTGGCTTGAGAATCCAGTGACCTCATACTAGTGAAGATGTAGCCCAGGGCCTGGTGAGTCATGATTAATTATTAGTTATTTGTTATCCACCTTGCTTAGACATTTGGGAGGGTTTAGTCATCTCTATCCCTCAAGAGGTGGGCCTGACAAACCAGGCTGGTTTCTGAGTCGTGGTGACCCTGCTGCCTGTGTTTCTCCGTGCTGGGACACAGGCCTCTGCTGCCACAGCTGGCCAAGAGCTAAAGATACTAAATGCCTCATCCTCGTAAATACTAGACACTCCACCCCCGAGCTACCCTGCAGCTCCTCACTGGGATTCTGAGCAGGAGTTCTACCCCTGAGCCACACCCCAGTCCCTCACTGGGGGATTCTAGGCAGGTGCTCTACCCCTGAGCCACACC